TACTTGTTTTACAAGAACAATTAGATAATAAAACTAATGATCTTGAAGAACAACAAATGAATGGTAAGTATAATAAGATATTCATATTCATATTGATATATATATGTCTATTTTAGATGAATCAAAACAAATATCTAATGGAAATGAATTAGAATTTATTCCATTAGATAATGAAGAAAATATTGATATTCTACGAAAAGAATTTGAAGATATTGTGTCAGTTGATTATAATGTTTCATTTGAAGGAGCTGTCAGACAAATTGTTGATGAAATAAAACGAGAACGAAAAGAACTGAATGAACGTTATGAAGCATTAGAAAAAGCAAACTATGACCTTCAAACAGGTAGATTATATTAATATTCTAATATATTTTGTATCTTTTATTCTCATTTGAAGAATCAGATACTAATATGGAATCTATTCGTCAATCTTATTTAAATACTGTCAATGAATTGAATCAAGAATTACTTGCTATGAAAGAACAATATGAAGCACTTGATGCTGAAAAACAAATTTTAAATGATAAATTAGAAAATCAATCTGTTATTCAACCAATCGGTAAATATTTAATAATGTACATACTTTTCAAATATAATTCATTTTCTATTTAGAATCTTCATCATTCAATTCAAATGTTACTGATGAAACTCATCCTATATGGAATGAAATTCATAGTTTATTAAACTTATTGAATGAAGTTTCTCGAGAAAAATTTATTTTTCATATACATCATTTAATAAGCGAATATAGTTTAGCTAAAGATAAAATAAATATTCTTACGAAAGATCTGGAAAATATTAATCAACAATTAACTAATATCTATAATCAATGTGAACAATTACAAGAAACAAATAAACAATTATTATTGGAAAAAGAATTAGTCAACGGGAAATCAATGAATGGTATGTTAATTATTAAATATTATATTATACATTTTTGATGATTTATTTAGATGATCAATTTCAACAAGAATATATTCTATTGAAAAATCAATGTACACAATTAGATATTGCAAATCGATCTTGGCAATTATTTTATGATAATCAAATAGAATTATTAAAAAATAAATTCAAGAATTATTCCGATTTCGATCAAAATAATAATTTTGAACAAATTATTGACATTATTGCAAAAGAATTTGAACAATTAAAAGAAACTATTCCATCAGGTATAATTGGAAATGAAACAAGAGAACTACTGTATATCCTTGAATGACTATAATATTCAATTAGTATTTTATGTCTTAAAGAGAACCATTCGAGATGTGAAAAGACGGAGGGTGTGGATGTGCGAGGGTGTAGTTGTGTGGGTATTGATATGATTTTCATATATGCCAGATATCCAGACCCACACCCACGCCGATATCTCAACTTGCGTGCATATCCTTCCTAATTAAGGGCAACATTTGAGTACAAAAGCTTTTTGACATGACCGATGGCGCCCCCTCGTTAGTTTTAATTATAGTAAATTGTTCATTTATTGTGAGTACATGATTTTAAAATGAATATGATATAATGAGTTGAGCGATACCTTGAAAATTTCTGGTTTAAGATAGTAGATCTACAAATTAATTTCCTTATCATGAGAAGTTAGAAAAGTAATACCATAAATTTAAATCATTTCTATTATCTATAAAATCTAGAAGTCATCATCAATAATAATCAATTTTCAAATGAACCATCTGTTGATTCTCAAGATAAAAATCAAATCTTATCACTTCAAGATGAAATCGCACATTTACAAGAACAGCTAAAAACGAATCGGTTTTCAATTGAATCATTAACAACTAATCTACAATTAATCACACAAGAAAATGATATACTTACTAATGATAATCATAATTTAATAAATCAACTCAATGAATTTAGAAAACAATCAATTCCCTTCGATACACAACAACGACATAGTAAGTTTATTATTAAAACAATATATAAATCACATCATTAATCTACTGATTTTAGTTTCACAATTGTCAACAATTGATCATGCACCAATAGAAGAAGTTAGTATAACATATTTCTAATACTTTCTTTTATTTTTATATCTATGTTTATTTCATTCAGCCTCTATTACATACAATTAAACCAGTTCAATCTGCAAATACTGAACAAGAAATAAACGATATTCAACAACTACAAACTGATATTTCTCTTCTTCGAACACAATGTGCTCAATTAGATGAAGCTAATCGTGCATGGAAAGATTTTCATCAGAATCAATTAGAATTATTTCGAGATAAATTACAAGATTGGATTCCATTGGATATAAATTCAAATCTCGAACAAATGACTCAACAAATTCTTGCTCATATTACTCAAATAAGAAACGATAGAAATTTCATATTTCAAAATGACAACCAATCAGGTAGAGAACTTATTATCTGTATACATACATGTACAACTCGTAATAATTTATCGTTTAGATTCATCCACAATTGATTCATTGCAAAAACAATTAGCTAATTATCAATATAATGAATCTATGCTTGCACAAAATCTTGAACAACTTAATCAAAAACTACTTGATGTTTACAAACAATGTGAAGAATTTCGTGATAATAATGCACAATTAATTCTCTCGAAACAACAAGTTGATAAACAATTAGAAGAACGAGAAAAACAAATTAATGAATATCAATTATTAACAAATCAAAATATAGATTCACCAACAGAAGTTTATCTTTTTAATACTTTGAAGAATACACCCACTGAACATAGTAATCACGAAGAAGAAATTCGTGAACTTCGTGAAAATCTCACTAATCTTACAACTCAATGTACTCAGCTTGATGAAGCTAATCGCGCTTGGCAACAATATCAACAAACGCTAGTTCAACAACTTCAATCTCATCTACCTTTAGATAATCTCAATTCATTTGATCAACTTCCTCAACTTATTATTGATCATATCAATACTCTAAATCAACAATATCAAACCTTACAACAAACAAATCAACAACTTCAATTAGGTAAATATTATTTCTTCACATTTATTATTTTATTTTATTGTTTATTTATTTAGAATCAGAAACGAACTTACAAACAATTAAACAAGCTCAAATCAATACAATCAATGAACTTAATCAAGAGGTACTTGTTTTACAAGAACAATTAGATAATAAAACTAATGATCTTGAAGAACAACAAATGAATGGTAA